GCACTTTGGGAGGCTGAGGTGGGCAGATCACTTGAGGTCAGGAGTTCAAGACCAGCCTGGCCAACATGGTGAAACCAATCTCTACTAAAAATACAAAATCTAGCCAAGCGTGGTGGTGCACGCCTGTAATCTCAGCTACTCGGGAGGCTGAGGCAGGAGAATCACTTGAAACCAGGAGACAAAGGTTGCAGCGAGCTGAGATGGCACCACTGCACTCCAGCCTGGGCAACAGAGTGAGATTCTGTCTCAAATAAATAAATAAATAAAAAATAAAACATTTTTTCCTTTTCCATTTGCTGCTCTCCCCGCCCTACCCAGTTTCAAGATGTAGCTCTGAGATAAACTTTACAGCCTCGGAGTGTTCCATACTCACTTATCTGGTCATATACGTCCTTAAACACTTCAAGGGTCAGATCCTGATACAGACCTGACACCTCCAGAAGTCTCTTTCTAACAAAAGATGACTTCAAAGCTGGAACCTACTCCTGGCTACTAGATTGACTACGATTAATTTATAACCTGGTAGGACCCACCATGGCACCAGCCCCTTCACCAGAGGGAACCATAATTCGAGATGAGCCGTGGAAGCAAATCACACAGCATGGCAACTCCCATTCCTCCTGCCTCTTCTGCATTCCAAACCCGCTCTTTAAAAACCTGGGCGTTCCCTCCACAAATTGAAGAGTGGAATTTTTTTTCACCTGCTCTTCCTCTTGCTAGCACAGATCATAAAGTCTTGCTCTCTTTCTATCACATCTTATTATTATTTTGACTTCTTTCTACAAGCAAGGAACAGCAGACCCTTTTACATTATCATTGGTGAAGACACTGAGTTAAATCTGCACAACGAGTCTTACTCTTGCCTGTAATCCCAGCACTTTGGAAAGCCAAGGCAGGTGGATCACCTGAGGTCAGGAGTTTGAGACCAGCCTGGCCAGCATGGTAAAATCCGTCTCTACTAAATATACAAGTTCGCCAGGCATGGTGGTTGGCGCCTGTATTCCAAGCTATTCGAGGCTGAGGCAGGAGAATAGCCTGAACCCGGGAGGCGGAGGTTGCAATGACCTGAGATCACACCACTGCACTCCAGCCTGGGCAACAAGAGCAAAACTCTGTCTCAAAAAAAAAAAAAAAAAAAAAAATCTTATTATTGTTTACCATACCTTTCCTGGTCATCTTCCCATAACCAGTCATCAACAGATGATAGTACTTAAGCTTGAATTCGAAATCACCGCTTACAGATTTCGTCATTTTTCTGGGTGTCTCCCATGTATACATGATGTGTACATGTTAATAAACTTCTGTTTGTTTTTCTCTTATTAGTCTGTCTTTTGTTATGGGAGGCTCCAGCTGAAAACTTGGAAAGGGTAGAGGAAATATTTTTGTCCTACATTATGCTGTCCAGTAAGGTAGCCACTCACCACATGTGGCTGTTGAGTGCTTGGAATGTGGCCAGTACAAAATATACACAGTGTAAAATACACATCAGATTTAAAAGGCTTACTGTGAAAAGAAAAGTAAAATATCTCATCAATAACTTTTTATATTGCTCATATGTTAAAATGACATTTTGGATATACTGAGTTAAATTTATTATTATTATTATTATTATTATCATCATCATCATCATCATTATTTTTGAGACGGAGTTTTGCTCTCTATCCCAGGCTGGAGTGCAATGACACAATCTCTGCTCACTGCAACTTCCGCGTCCTGGGTTCAAGTGATTCTCCTGCCTCAGCCTCCCAAGTAACTGGGATTACAGGCACCTGCCTCCGTGCCCAGCTAATTCTTTTTTTTTTTTTTTTTTTTTTAGTATTTTTTAGTAGAGATGGGGTTTCACCATGTTGGCCAGGCTGGTCTCGAACTCATGACCTTGGGTGATCCACCCACCTCGGCCTCCCAAAGTGTTGGGATTACAGACATGAGCCACCAGGCCCAGCCAATATATTATTAAAAATAATTTATTGCCGGGCATGTTAACTCATGCCTGTAATCCCAGCAGTTTGGGAGACTGAGGCGGGCAGATCACCTGAGGTCAGGAATTTGAGACCAGCCTGGACAACATAGTGAAACCCTGAATCTACTAAAAATACAAAAAATTAGCTGGGTTTGGTGGCGCGTGCCTGTAATCCCAGCTACTTGGGAGGCTAAGGCAGGAGAATCGCTTGAACCTGGGAGACAGAGGTTGCAGTGAGCCGAGATAGCACCACTGCACTCCAGCCTTAGCAACAAGAGCAAAACTCCATCTCAAAATAATAATAATATCTTGGCTCCCGCACCACCTGACACTCAGATTCTCAGGCTACAGCCAACACTGAGAGCATCATTATCAATCCTAGTGGTGTTCAGCACAGCCTGGTGGGTGAAATCATCAAATACTCTGAGCAGAAGGGATTCTACCTGGCGACCATGAAGTTCTTTGGGTCTCTGAGGAACCCCTGAAGTAGCACTACACTAACCTGAAAGACCACCCATTCTTCCCAGACCTTTCTGAGCACAAGGTCTACTCTGCAGTATGGTTGTCTGTGGACAGACTGTCTTTCTCCCTCAGGTCTGAGTGCTCAAGCAGATCATGGTGTATTCATCAGTGTATCCCAGTGCCTGGCACATATTAGGCACTCAATATAAGTGAAGTACATGAACTCAGGGCAGGTTGTGGCCATGGTCCTGGAGGGACCGAATGCAGCAAAGACAAGGCAAAGGATGCTTGGGGAGACCGATCCAGTGGGATCTATGCTAGGGACTATTATTCACAGGGACTTCTGTGCTAAAATAGGTGGGAACATCATTGGTGGCAGTGATTCAGTACAAAGTGCTGGAAAAGAAATGGCTTAAAGAAGAACTGGTTGACTACAAGTCTTGTGCCTATGACTGGATCTATGAATAAGAGGAAGTCAAAGCAGCAGTCTGCTCTGATGTCCTTCCTGTGTCCCTAGACACAGCTCTTCATTTCATTGACTTAGAGACAATAGGATCAATCATTCTTTGCTAATAAAGCCTTTGGAAACTGGAGGAAAAACTTACTTTGTTTCTTTCTACTTTTAAAAATGTGTGTACTGGAAATGTTAAAATGACACAAGTGGCTGGCATTACCTTCCTGTTGGACAGTGCTGGACTACTATCATTTGCTGGCTTCCCACAACTCCTAAGGTGCAGCAGCTCCCAAGCCTGTCATTCCTCCCACTTGCCTTGACAGCCTCATCTGGCACTCATTTGTAGGATGGATGTCTCTTGTCCCAGGTAGTGATTACTCCATTCATCTCCATCCATGCTCTGTGCAATCAGTGATATGGGAACACACTGTGGAACTGGGGAATCAGGGACTTGGCATTTAGTCCCAGCGTTGCCACTAACTTGCTATGGGACCAGGCAAGTCCCTTAACCAACACCCACCCCGCCCTGCTGTCTCACCTTCCCCACTTGAATTATATAGCCTGAGTGAGACCAACTCCAATATCTCTTCCTGCTCTAGAGGTTCTGTTTGTTTTTCTCTTTTTTTTTTTTTTTTTT